TTAAAAAAAACCGTGTGCTCTTCATTTTATTGCTTTTGCTTTTTAATAAAATGAACTATTGATTTCAATTTTTCTTGTATAAATTAGTACATCAATTATAAAAAAACAAAAAATATAATAATAAAAAAGTACATGCTATTTATAATATTTCAAATGTTTAATATAATTTTATATTTTAAATATTTATGACTTAAATTAAAGTACATTTTTAGTCATTATTTTTGTAGAAATAGGCTTTAAATATTAAGTAGTAAATTATATGGAATTTTACCTATACATTTAAAAGTGTTGTAAAATTTTCAATGCTTTATTAGGTTTCCGCAAAGTTGTACGTGGATGTAAAAAAAGTTTCTGTTCTACTCCTGCTGATGGTTCTTCTTTGTAACAACGAGGTAACCTAACATAACAATTAATTATATATAATATTTAATAGGTAAAATAATATATTTACATTAATATATATTAAATTAAAGAGACAATACTAAAATATCACTGCATAACCACGTTTTTTCAAAAAAAATACAGGCATTTTTTATATTGTTAAATAAACTCTGTTTAATACATATTTAGCTAAACATTTGTATTCAAATCTTAAGCATAGTAACTTATCAATAACTTTTCAATTTATATGGATTAGCAAAAACCATTGATGCAAGTGTAGTTTTAAGGGATATTTTAAAGGTATAATTGTAAAATGAAATTTATTTATTAATTACAGAAAGGATCCAAAAGTTTCGTTGAATAATCCAGAATATTTTAAATGTAGTATAATGGTTTTTTACGAAACTAAAATTATATTTTTCACTGATTCATAATAAAATCTTCATGTCTAGCTAATTATACCTAATGTCTTGTTTTTTACTTATTATACCTATCAATAGATGATTATTGATAGAAAAATTATTCGTTATCAAGAATAAATGGTCCGATTTTTGTAAGTGCGTTTTAAATAGTGTGTTTTGACATTAATACAACATCATGATCCTATCACAATGTGATTGTCATGTAGTGTGGAGGCTGGCTTTTCGCTGTGTATGCTGGGCGACAAATAAATGCTATAAATCAGAAATTGGTGCACAAAATTAGTAAAATCACAAACAAGTAGATTAACTGTCTCAATTAATCTAATTAAATAAATTTAAGTTAAACATTGTGCTTAAAAAATAATTGTGTAGGAATACTTTGTTTGATACCAAAAATAAAGAATAATATCTTTAAAAAAGCCAGTACAGTGGGGTGAGGGCTTAGTGGTGACAAAGCATAGGGTGGTTACGGTACAGTAGGGTAGGGGCATAGTGGGAATGGGGAGGTCACAGGTTTATAGGAATTTTTACAGCTAAATGTGATCAAATTACTTTAAAATAAACGCTTCGATGCGAATCATTATTTAGTATTTTCAAACCAGTAAGTCTAAACAAGCATAATATGGACAGTGAAAAAGTATTAAAGTGAGGTGTATTTTTTAAAAATTAGCACTTTAACGTTTATTTTAAAAGTGATTTTATTACTTTTTTTTATAATAATTTTTGTAGACCTATGATTTGTCCGTCCCACTATGCTTTGATACCATTATGCCTCGACCCCACTATACTGACTTAATCGGATAAAATCACTTTATAATAAACGCTGATTGCATAGTAAACTAGTAGACGAACTATCTAAAACCAATCAAATTAAATTAATTTAACTTGTCAAAGTTGAAAGGATTATGTTTGATAAAAGCCAGTACTTTAAGGCATGTATAAAATTGTTTACCACTAATCCCGAGGTCTGTACACTGTAAGTGTACTTCAAAATTAGTCATAAAATATGTACATTTACATAAAGAGTATCTTACAAGTATTTTCATATATTAAATGAATTAATATTTTTTAGTCTGTTTTAAAAACGTGACAAATTACAAATATTTAAAAAATTTAAATAATTATTATCTGTTCTTTAGACTTATGTGTGTGTGTGTGAAATTTTGCAACCGATAAACTTATACCAGTTGAAAAAGCCTTGTTTTTTACTAGTTATACAACTTTGCAAACTAGATTATTACTTTTGCCCAATTTTATTATCACCGTTTCGTTTGAATACAGTTTGTAGACAAAAATGTGGCTTGCTACAAAAGAACCGCTTTGCAAGTCTAGACAGAATGTATGACTCAATGAGTGGTACATACAGATGCGTGAATCTACGTTCTCGGTACTTTGACCCAGATCGAATGTATACTTAACTGTGTGAACTATTTTTAACTATTTTTTTTTAACAGAACAGTATATTGTAATGGTTACTGACTTACAAAATTTCGTTATACCACTGTAAAATCGTATAGGAATACAGTAAATCTTAGAGTTCATAGTCAACCGTGTGGCTACAATAAAGTTCACGACCACTCGTCAGTTTGCACAAGTGTTTTAACTAGTATAAACTGAACAACACTCACATTAAATCCAAATTTTGTAAATTCTTCATTTCAATTTTGCTTGTCTAAAACTTTAGATTCCTTGTCGGACAGTGCTTTTTAGATTAAAAAATTTCATTGCTACATTATGCAGAAAATCGCTATTATTTTTATAGCTTTTATTATCTTGGAAGTCTCGTTGGGTAATTTGTGTTTTTATACTATTTATACTACTTCATTTTTTAAATGATTATACAAAATTAACAGTATTTGCACAAAGTATTAATTGATGTTAATTACATTGATTAGTAAATGATCTATACATACTTTCCTTACAAACTTATGCTTGTAAGTATGACTTTATATTAATACTTAATTCTGTTATGTTAATTTAGTCACACGAGGTCTGCCATATCCAGGTAAGTAATAACTAGTAACATTATTAACACACGATATATTATACAGGAGGGCCCACAAAGATTTGACAAATGAAATAACTTTTGTTCTAGTGAATATTTTTAAAAATAATTTATACTCATTTGCGCTATAAGCACTATGTATTTTATTGCACTTAATTATTTTTTTATTTTTTTTTATTACCTTTTTATTTAAAAATTCAAGATAGCCATTTTGTTAAGAATAATTTGCTGAAAATTTTAAATGCTCGATAACCAGATTTGAACAATTACTTTAAAAGTTACTAAAGGTTAAAGGGTAGGATGGGAGGTGGAGTGCGGTAGAGAAATGCGCGCAGATAAAAATAGCTCTACGCGCTTACTCTACCGCACTCCACTTCCCATCCTATTTCTTTAACATTTAGTAACTTAAAAAGTAATTATCCAAATCTGGTTGTCGACCAGTCAAAATGTTCAGCAATTTATTCTTAACAACATTTTTTTTTTTAAATGTAACGAAAAATAAAAAAAAATTTTTAAAAGTAAAATAGTTAAGTGCATTAAAAACCGTAGTGCTTATAGCACAAATGAGTATAAATTATTTTTAAAAGAAAAATCTTAAAAATATTCACTAGAACAAAAGTTATTTAATTAGTCAAATCCTCCTGTGCCAACCTGTATATTATTATAATTTCCATATACATTTCTTTATTTAGGATATTTGTACTAAATTATTGTTAATACTATCGTTAAGAATGGGAGTAGAAGTATGGTTAGGTTAGTAAGAACTAACGGTGTAGTTACCAAAGCTAAAGCAATTATTATGAAAATTACTTATTATCTTTCAAGGTAAAATAAGCTGTACTGAAATTACTATTAAAATGAATCGATCATTTCAAAAACGACATTGAAGTCTTACACTAGCCACAAAAAACTTCAAAACTTCATAACTAGTGATTCTAATTTCTTGTAATCAATATTTGTATTAAACATGAGTTTGACAAATTTAACTTTCACACAAAACACGGCACTAAGTATATAATCAACAAACCGTCATTTTTAAAAAATCGGTGACTTATGTTGTTTTTTAAATGAACGATTCAAATGTTTAAAACATTTTTTTTTTACTGTTAAGGCCTCTGGAGTTTACTTGAGATCAGTCAGAGCATTTTTTTCAATTTTTAATTTTAACCCTTTCCAAATTTGAATTTGAATTTTTATAAAATGTTCAAACGTGTTTTATGCGTAGTAGGAATAAGATATCAAAAAAGTACGCTGACCGATCTCAAGTAAACTTCATGACAAATTTAAATCTGTTTTCAAATTACCTATCGGATCACTGGTTCAGCCTGTGCGATGGACAACAAATGTACTATTATATTAACTAAAATGGCTTTTATTCATAGACAAAATGATTTAAATTAAAAATAATAACATGATGCTTTTAAAAATGAACCGGTAAATTAACTGGCATGGTTGCAATGTATTAAAACCACTTTTTTCTTAAATATTGCCTATACGAAACTCCTTAAAAATGGTCGGTATCCAGGGGCCTTAAATGGTTACCACGTCATCAATACATGATATATTTTTAAAAATAAATAGGGGTAGTGCTTCCGGTGACTTAAGGCCGACGACTAAACAATTAAATTAGTAAAAAAAAAAAATGGAAATAATATTTTATTGTAAAAGTTAAATTAATATAAAGACACTAGACAAGAGTATTCGGTGTCGCTGTCCGTTTTCCCAGGTTTAAATTCATACCATCTTTTTTGTCTTACGACATTACCCTATTGTAATATTAAAACCAGCAAAAAGTTTTGTTACATATTATGTTTATTATGAAAATTGATTTATGCAAACACTGCACTAAAGTACTTTAAAACGAATAACACAAAATTGTTATTAAAATTACAAGTAACGTTGTTTTTTTTCAAAATATTATAATGACAATTTAAAGTTAGTAAAAATTAATTTATTTTGTATAATTTATTGAATTAGGTTCAGATAATGAGGATTCGGAGCTGCCAAGTGGCGTAAAAGGTCCGTACATAGACTATAGTTAGTTTACTATAGTAACTTTTTTATATCTTTTATGTCATTTAAGGTAAATGTAAATATATCAGTAATATACTTCTATCAAACATAAACTAATTAATATTATATAATCTAAAAATTATATTAATACACCTAACATAGTATATAATTGTTTTTAGTTTGTGACACTTGTGGGGAAGTTATAGGTATGTTTTTCATCACATTTTACTTTCATACCGTTGCTTTAATTGGAAAGTTCCTAATGTGTAATTATTTTTATTGGTTTGTTCAAACTTTTTGTAACGCTTTTAAGTTCAAACTACCAGCAAACCCATCAGAGGAGCTAATAATCTACCTAAATCTTTATAAATAATTTAGTTATTATTTTTATATTTTTTTAATGTAGCTAACTTTATGTATATAAATGACAAAATGTATTGATAAAAGTTAACTTAAATGTATTATAAAGTCTTTTTTCAATTCACACACAATTTTCTATGCCGCTATAAATTTATATTGCTACCTATTTTTTTTTTTATATGTAGACCCACAACGTGCGTCAAGCTCACGAGGTAAGTAACAACTATCATTCAAAGGCACGTTACACGTTTTACTTAGCCTTATCTTCGATGAGAATTATGGTTTTTAAAATAATGGTTTTCCACAGAAATTGTCGAATTAGGTGATAAAGAATTCGATGATGCGCGGCGAACGAATGTTCGAGATTAGTATAGATAATAGAGTAGTTTTTACTACTACTATCTATTGTAGATTTTAGTAAGTGTATATTTTCTGAGTCAATAGTGCTCCGTTTTTTTAAAAATTTTGTGTGAGATTTAAAAAGTTCGCGTTCGGACCGGTGCCGGTTTTGAGTTAGCCGATCAAAACATTTTTAAGTTTATTTAAGTTTTTAAGTTATTACCCTTCAAGCTGTATAGACGTTTATGAGATAAAGCATACGTGTGCTTTGTAACATAACATAAGTCGTGCTCTACAAACGGCAAACGTTCAATTTGCTGTTGGTTTCGGTTATACTTGCGGCCATAACTATTATTTCAATTTATTTAAAATAACATATCGGTGCGCAATACCGATTGTGCCACTCGCCGAGTAAACCTGAATGGATTATAGAGTTATTTGCTCAATTCCCACACAGTTTTGTATGCGACTATGAATTTATACTAATATCTAATTTTGTTACTTATATTTAGAGCCACATAGTGAGTCAAGCTCACGAAGTAAGTAACAACTATGTATTTAAGACACGTTAAACATATAACTTAGTCTTAGCTTCATTGCGAAGGGAGGATTTATGGTTTTTACAAAAATGGCTTTTTATGCCTATGATATCTTCTATACCGCTAAACCGATTTTATCATGGTGGAACGTATAAATAAGAGATACAAAGGTCACTTTCTCTTCAAAATCAAAAAAATTTCAAATTTAAATCACGAGGTTCTTAAAAAATAAATTAAAGTTTTTTTTTTAAAACATGCTTTTCTAAAACAGTAAAAAGTGAACTAAAAAGTAAAAAATAATTTTATTACAGGAACAATTTGCCTGTCAATTGTAGCATGTTTTATTTAAAATGTCAATTACTTTGAAAACAACCGAAAATTAACTACAATTTTAAATATTGTTAAACATCTTTAGTTTTTGACTAAAAAGAATAGCGTGAAAAAATACAAAATACATTAAACTAAATTTAAATTACAAAAGAACTTACAATATATAACATTATCTGATACATTTATTAGGGACTTAGTTGAAAATTTAAACGTACGTACGTAGCGAGCTAAAGAAAATCATGTAACAAGTCAAATTATTCCATTAGAAGACTAAATATTGCTCTATTAAAATGAAAAAAAATTTTAGACAAAAAACTAAAAATTTAAAAATTTAGTAAGTAATGTTAATAAATTGTTTAAAAATGGTATTAAAAAAATGGATAAAAGTTTTGGAAAATGGAAATGATACCTATTGTATTTTTTATCAAAATATTGCTTACCACTAAGGGCTGTACACTGTAAGTGTAACATTTTTTTGAAGTTATGATCATAGTGTGTGTATGAAGCACAAAGACCTACGCCAGATAAGTCTAATAAATGTCTATGTAGATTTATACAGTTATATATGTAAAATCTTTACTAAACTGGTTTTTATTTAAGACTGTTTAATTATTATTTTTCTACATACTATTATGCCAATTTAAATTTAGCAAATATAATTATTTTTATTTTTAGAAATCAGTGAATTAGTTATGGAAGAGTTGGTTAATCCGCGGCAAAAGAATGTACAAGGTCAGTCTAGATGATAGAATAGTTTAAACATTGTAATATTTTCCATACCTTTGTGTCAGTTCTTATTGTTATTATTCTCCTTTAGAGTTCGTATACTCCCTCGTGTTTTCGGTCAAATATTTTCTTAAACTTATAAGTTCAAATCACCGGCAAACCAATCAAAAGTTGCTTATATTATTTAGAAAAAGATAAACCCTCTTAACAACTTTAAAATCGTGTAAAAAATGATATCTTTATTTTTATTATTTTTCAACATACCATTATGTTCAACAATTAGTAATTATATATGTGTATACTTTTGGTTTAGAAGGAGACAGTTCGACTACACCAAAAGGTCAGTATAGACTGTAGAATATATATATATATATAAAAAGGTTCTCGTTATTCGAATGCCAAAAAAATAGACTGGGTTGAAAATAAAACATTAATATTTTTATTTGTAGTAATCGGTGTATTAATTAAAGAAGAAATGGATAACGCGCGGCAAAATAATGTACAAAGTCAGTATCTAGATGATAGAGTAGTTAGTAGTTATGTATTGTAGACTTAAAGAGGACGCCACACCGGCCATTTCTAAGGAGTAAAGTATAGGCAATTTTTCGAAAAATCTTAATTTGGAGTTTGAACTATAATGTATACCTACTTATTAATGCAGTAATGAGAATACTTTGTTAATTGCCATTTTTTTTGTCAGACTGTCATAGTCATTTCTAAAGGATAAAATACTATTTTTTTGCCATCAAAACTGCTTTGCGCGGAGTAATTTTTCTCAGGCTTTATACATAGTTAAGGAAAGAAATTCATACTCATAAATTTTATGACAAAATTATCTGTGTTCCGTCATCCGTATTTTTTCGATATACCTAATACAACCAACGCTATATCACTTTTAAAATAGTCAAAAAAGTCCTTTCTTAATTGTTTAATGGTCCGTTAACTGGTTAAAATATTTAAAAAAGGGCGATGGTAGAACACAGACATCGTTGTAGTTTATATTATGTAAAAATGTGGTTTCTTAGTTTTGATATCCTTTGTAAAATTAATCCGCGTAAGGCGGGTTTTTTGAAGAAAATAACGGGTGTGTGACGTCCTCTTAATTGTTAAGTCTGTTATTTTACATTCACTAAAAACTAAAATTAAATTAACCTTGAATGAAAATCAAAGTGTCATCAAAGAGTTAATAACTCAACTCTGTGTCATTATCAAATTAAAAGTTTCTGGCTTTATGAGCTTCTTGTAAACAATTTCACAAATACATTTCTATATATTTTAACATACCTTATTTAGTATATATTTGTTTTTAGAATGTGACAAATGTGGAAAAGCTTTAAAAAAAGGTAAGTTTAATTAAAAAAAAAATTGTAATATAAAATAAAATATTGATATTGGTTTTAAAATTATGTGGGGTTTTTCCATGTCTGTATACACTGTATATTTTTTAATGCTGGACTAATTCTTTTGAGTAGCCACTAAATAAATTACAAATTTCAGTGTTTTTTTTGGGGGGTTTTTTAGTAGTAATTTTTGTTAGAAGTCTTTTACTGTGAGTTAAAACTGTATTTTCCGCAGATTTTTTTTGTATTTTAACATAAACCCGTTAAAATGAAATGTTTTGTGAATTTTTTGCTTCTAATTATTCTGTTGGACCCAGACTGCCAGAGCAGCGTACACAAAAACTATATCATCTACTTCGTTTTCTATAGCCTCGTGTACGCTATCGGTTTTCGATGTATTTGAAGCACTTCAACTAATCACAGATACTACTTACGGACCTGACCTTGTCCCTGGTATTGTTTTTAGTTCCTACCGCAATTCGTTTACCCGTCCAATTCACTTCTTGTTTTGTTTGTCCCTGTCTTCGGATGTTTTTCCTGTTTACATTACTCCTATTTTTAAGTCTGGTGCCAAATCTGATGTTTGTAATTATCGGCCAATATCTAAACTGAGTGCTTTACCTAAACTATTTGTGAAACTTTTAGAACCTAAGCTATCATCGACTTTTAAAAATGTCTTAAATAACTGCCAACATGGCTTTCGTGGCTTTAAATCAACTATTACCAATCTACTGGTATTTTATTAAGATATTGCTTCTACTGTTGCGACCGGTGGTAGGGTTGATGCAATTTACACCGATATGAAAAAAGCGTTTGATACAGTAAGTCATGCAGTCTTAGTTGATAAATTAAAAAATATTGGAGTGAAGGACCAATTACTTAAATGGCTGGCTTCATACCTTTCAGGCAGGCTACAGCAAGTTAGGATAAAAAATGTTATTTCTTCCGTTATCCATGTCACCTCTGGAGTACCTCAGGGTGGGCATTTATCTCCATTGCTCTTCTTAATTTTCATGAATGATCTCGCTGATGTCTTCCATCACTCTAGATGTTTGTTTTTTGCCGATGATGTGAAAATTTATACTAGTATTCGTTCAGTAGCCGATAGCCATATAATTTGCAAGAGGATTTATGCAGATTTCATAACTGGTGTGTTGTAAATGGTTTATGCTTGAATATATCTAAATGTTTTCAGATTACTTTTTGTCGTAAACGCTCATTCGAACTATATACATATAATTTAGATGGTATTAATCTCATAAATGTTTCGCATATTAAAGATCTAGGTGTAATCCTTTCCTCAGTTTTGTCCTTTACTGAGCACATTTCAACTATTTATAATAAAGCTCTACGAATGTTAGGTTTCCTTAAAGAAGTTTTCTAATCCTATTTGTTTAAAAGTTTTGTATTGCGCTCTGGTGCGTTCCATAATTGAGTATGGACTAATTATTTGATCCCCATATCAAGCTAACTTTAGTAATAAACTTGATAAATTAAAAAAACGGGTTCTACGTATGCTGGTCGTGAAAGTGGGGAAATACGTTAAAGATGATGATTTGAGTGCAGTTGCTTCAGATTTCGGAATTGCTAGTCTGGCTCAGCGACGGCGAATCTTTGACGTTTGCTGGATACATGGGTTATAAAATTGATTGCCCATAAATACTTGATATTATCCCTTTTAATGTTCCTTCAGTTCCCCTACGCTCTCAATCATTATTCTATATTTCCACTGTTCGACAGAACTAAAATCTTTTTGCTCCGGTCCACCAAATGCTAACGGAATGCAACGAAATTAGTGTTAAAGTAGACTTCTCTTTTAACTCTGTAGCCATAATAAAGAGATCGGTTTTAAATAGTTAAATCATTTATACTGATTGATATGTATTTAATACTTGTTCTATCCTCAATTTTTTGTTAATGTTTTTGGTTTTTGTGTTA